CCTTACTTCCCTATTATAAGGAATCATTTATCCTTAGCTTTTAAGGTGATTTTCTGTTAGAACCTAGTGTACTCAAAGAATTTTAAAAGTCCTCTTATAAACAAAAAATCATTAATCACATTATTCATATGGATTTAAACAACAATTTTAGAAAATAATTATTTGAGCCTCTTGGTAGTCTAGCGGATAATTTATAAACACAGCACAATAAAAGCACTATTAGAAATAAGCATTCCAATGGAAATCAGCCTGCGAAATAACAGAATCTCATCTGTGCTCCTTGATCACCTGAAGAAAGATACTGAGGCCTCTCCAAAAAAAATTGTTGTACTTCAGTCTTTTTTAGCATTGCAAGGACAGATACCAGATTTGGATCACAAAGAATATCTGTCATGAGGACCTTTACTGACTGCAACAGCAGTGGCTTTGTGCTAGTGGGAAAAAAAGTTTAAAAAATCAAGGAGAGGACCAAGGTGTAGGCTAAAGCCAGAATGTTCAGCATGAGAGGGGTCACAGGCCAGTACCTTGGTACGGACACTTGCAGTCAGTGTATGATTTACCTCTTCTGATGGTGGACATTTAAAACAGACAAGGTGAATCACACACTAAATATGTCTATTTTTCTCTGTTGGCCATAAACACATTCCACATCACTGGCTCAGATCTAAATGTTTACACTGAAGATATCTGAAGTTTGGCAAGAAAAATCCTATCCCTCATTTTATCCTTATAAAGTATAATGCAATAATCCAATCTGATGTTGACACAAATATTAAAAATAGTGACAAAATGTGTTTTCAAAGCAAAGATCACAGCTTCCCAGACTCTCTCACACACACAGTGAAAATCTGACTTGGTTGCTGTGCCTATATGTCTTCTAAACAGTAAGCGGAAGTTAAAAATTACCACGGCGCTCACGTTCCTACCACACTCTGTCACGGAGCTGTGTATCTGAGACGAGATGCTAAGGGTGGAGGTCTGTATAAATGGTCCTGCACTGAGCACAGACTTACGGCTGCTGCCACAGATTGCGGGCATGTGAGTAACGTGCATACTAGCTGCTCATGCTGGCCTACTCATTTACCACAGGCAATGTTTGAGAGCCCTCCTCTATGAAATCCTCACCACTTTCTATTTCTTCTTCATTATCATCCTCTAAGATATTTACAGGAGCAGCAGTTTCCCCAGCCTCCATCATCTTTTTCAGAGCGTCAAGCTGTTCTGTTAATAAGAAAAATAAAAATAAATTAGTCATGACATGAGCAGTTTGTAGCGCAAAGAAATAAATGAAAACAATTATAATTGATTCTCTAATCCCGAGAGCTACTTTTATTTAATGGGTTCTCTAAGATTAAGATTTCAGTAAGCAATAAAATTTTAGAGAGTAAGAACATCTTTAGACATAAACTGTTGTTAGATCTAAAAAGCGGTCAGTAAGGGCTGTATCCAAAGCTCAGTGAAGTTAAGAAAAATATTTCCATGGACTTAAAACATCTTTGGAGCAAGCATATTACTTCTTCAAAGAACAGACAGCTCCCTCTTTGGTGCCTGATCTATGCAAATGGAGGCAAAGGGCTTGGATTTTCAGTTGTGTTCCCGTGTGCATTTCAGTTAGACGGTATGAACACAATCATGTATGACAAGTCAGTGGAAGGTCGGTACACTTATCTTTGAATGGAGAAGGACCAGGGTTTATCACTACAGCCATACTGGAAACTAATAGAGCAACATTATTATTACTGAAAGAAGATAAATATCAGAACTGGCAATAATACCAAGAGCAGCAATTTGAAATTCCATTTCATTTTATGCTTATCCTGGAAAAACAGAGCACTGCAAACATACTAGTGCAGGCAGAATTTACAAGAGATTCTATCTGCGTTATATTTTAGCTCAAACAGCAATCTGATAAAAGTCCCAGGATTACATTTCTAGGTCTATCTATGCCTATGCTATATGCTGATATCAAGGCCTAGACTCTGGCATTCAGACGAAACACAAAGTGTCATTTACGTATAATTCATATTCTTCCAACGCTAAGGTACAGGCAATTTGGAAACTTTAGTAACAAAGCTTATTCATACCAATGTGGACTTTTGTTTAATTTAATACTCGACAAGCTTTACTTACTCTTTTCTACCTCAGGTTTCAGCCTTTTATTCTTGATGAGAATCTTTCTTTTGAGGTCATTAGGGGAAGGTAAGGCTTTACCTGCGTCAAGCTGTAAAATAATTTAAAGAAAAGGCTTAATAACAGCTGTTTGGCCTCTTTGTATCTCTATTTGGGATTTTGAGTTTAGGACAGCAATGGTAAGGGGCAGTGAACAAGCAGTGCCACCTCAGGCACAACCCTGAGAGGCAGTGTGACTGCAGTTATATTGTCTCCTCTGCTTCCTCCCTATCCCACAGGAAAGCTGTGCTCAGACAAATGTTGCTGGCTGAAGCCAGCATGCTGGTCTCCAGCCTACGTCATCCTCAGCTGCACTGGTCAAAACATCTCCCCCTCTCCTGCTTAGCAGTGGGCACGGCTGTGACCTTGCAAGTCTTCATCAGAGGACTTGCTACTTTCCCTCTCCCTGTGGTTCACACACACTCCAAGTCACAGTTTAGCCAATTATCATTTGATCTCTAAATAAGTCATCTTTTATGGTCCCTTCAAGCTGTAATAATGCAAGTGAGGCAACCCACACATAGAATCGTTTTGGTTGGAAAAGACCTTTAAGGGTCGTCCTTACAGAGTAGAAATGGGCAGGCACTGGTGAATGGAACACTACCCAGCCCTTAGCGAGGTAACGAGGACTGTTTCTGCCAGCAGGGCTACAGGGTCCCATCTTCAGTATTTGTGAAAGGCAAATGGCAAGTTTCACATATGCAAGGAAGTACTACTAAAAGGTTTGTTCCAGTTTGGGGAAGGAGAAAAAATATTACTGAGGAAAGAGAAAAAGTGCAAAATCCTTTGATTTAAGCCCCATCACATCATTGAGGCTAAGAAACAGGGATTTGGGAATGGTAATTAGCACACTCTCCACTTCAGGCTGGCTAAGAATATCACGCAGGGAGTTGCTGCTATAATGGACTGTGGTTTCCAGTGAACCGCAAGTGATATATGAGTAGAAAACATTCCCAGGGCCAGTAAAAATTCTTAGAAGAAGTACTCAGATAGTCTTATCCTTAAATCCAACTCAGAGTTACGCAGAAGCAGCATTCTAGATGAAGAAACACAGGAACAAAGCACCGCAACTTGAAACCAAATAGAAGCAGCAGAGGTGACAAGTAACAATCCAGCAAAAGAAACCAAATCAACCCAACTCAGCCCCACAACAATGGGCGCAAACCTCCTTGCAGGAGGGTAATGATCATCCACAACCACCAGGCTAGCTGGCATGGGAGTTTCTGCATGTTGGATGAAGAAAAAACACAATTGTTTCTGAGAGCGCTTGGGTTGTAATTCCACTAGATGTCAGTGCCGCAGAGCTCATTTATCCCCAGGCTTCCAGGATGCCAGTCTGCGTCCCCAAGCACACGGCACAGCTGGATGCCCATTTGGACAAATATTTGCTTTTACTTAAAACCAAATCTGCTTCCCCCAGTGCCACGTCTCTCTCAAGTCTGTCCTCAGTCAGTCGAGGTACCAGAAACCAAACACTCATAAAATACATGTTTCAAGCTCCTGCCGTTTCCGCAACGTTTGCTTTGTGAGTAGCTGGGGTCTGAATCCGCCCGTGAGGTAGCAGCATGGCAGCCTTTGGCCAGCTCTACTTTAGGCTTCCCTGAAAGCTGCTGGAGGGTGCCATTTGCGAGGAATGCGGCAGGGTGCTACGTACATTACAGGAGAACACTACAGATTTCGTTCTCTGGTATGCACTTTTCAGGGCAACAACCTGATATTCACCAAGCCTTGTGCGTTGCTGTCCCTGCAACATGTGAGGGAAGCCAAGAACGGCACAGCTCTAGAGATGGTAATTCCAGGAGGCCCCTTTGCCGGGACCACACGGACAGGAGCTGAAAGGTAAGGCACGGTCCTCTCTTCCGTGGTCACCCACAGCACTAAAGACCTTCTGCAGGTTTTGGGTGTCTGCTGGCAGACAATGAGCACGTTGCTCAGGAGAGTAAGGAAGGCCGGGAGGAGTAGCTGCAAGCAGTGGGTAACAAGCTATTAAATTCTCAAATATTGTGTTTGTGAAGGAGTGTCTGTTATTATCTCCTGCCATGCAGGAGAGTGAAGTGCATGCAGATTACAGTGCACTTGATAGTCCAAATGAGACTGCAGGGAACTCTTTGTGCTTAATTTAATTCTTAATGCAGTAGTGCGGGATACCTAGACTGCAGGACCTGATCTGGAGCATGAAGCATGCAAAGTGCAGTCAAAAGAAGAGGTTTCCTCAGCTGAGACCATGCAATTTATAATTAATTGGTTTTCAACAGCGTCTGGCAATTTCAGAGTTATGTATGATCTGCAAATACAATGTATGTGGTGTATTTTATGTAGGCGCTGATATTACGTCACACATCGAGGGGATGGATTTCCCCAGGCTGCTCACCAGAGCCCTGCACAGAAGAGATTAAACAAATCAGATAAGGACCAAAAAGCGTAGACAACCAAAAACCACTAGTCATTTTTGAAAGCACAGGACTGGCAGTGAACAGCACTATAGGTGATATGATCCCAGTTTATCATCTCTATTAAATATAGGTAATATTAAAAAAAATTAGAAGACTGGCAGAGTATAACATACTGGATGTGTTTCTAGAGGCTGCTTCAACAGGAGATCTCCAAAAAGATCTTCACAGTATTTTGACATCTTGTACTGTTGATATTTGCTGGAAAAGATGATGTTGGTTAATTTTTAAATATAAAAAAAGAAATCACTATTACTCGGCAAAACAGACTAACACTATGTAGACATCCCAAATGATACACTGCCTACTTTCTCTCAGCTGAGAAGTATTACTTCACTATAATTAAACTGTCAATAAAAGTCTATGAACTGACATAGATGAATTTAGTAAGACCAAAAAAGTAGATTAACTGAATCCCACACAACTAGTGGAACATCCAAATATATTTCACAGATTTACCACAGTTAAAAATATTGGCATTATTAAGCTAAAGATTGACTAGTATATATAGTCTCTTCCAAGTGACATTTAGTATACCTGCATGTCCCTACACAGTTTTCAAGTGAACTCAAATTATAGCATTTTTGAGCTGTATCATCTCTCTCACATATTGCACTATTATTAAAAAAAAAAAAGGGCACTATATACCTGCAATGATTTTCAAATGAAAGAATGACAGGATACTCTGACGTAACAAATGCTGTTTCCTTAATGGCTTGAATTACATCCTTTAAAATGCAATAATAGGATTCAAATTAAAACAGATCAAATTACAATCATAATGAAAGAGGCTTTTTGTTTTCCACCTTGAGAAACACAGAGCTGAGACTCAAATATGCCAAGTGAAGCCAGAACTAAAACAAAGTGTATGCACATTCTTCCCTGTTCCCCCCAACAGCCCAGACCCAGCACCCAATAGGTGCCCCACGGCACCTGCAGCAGTGATGGCAGCTTCACCCAGAACCCACCAATGCTACCCCTGGATCTGCTCCCATCTGCTCTTGCCAGGGAGGGTTTCTACTCCCACAATAACTCCTGCATCTTCAGGCTGTTTCCGTAGCTAAGGAACTTCTCAGACAATGGAGAAGTGCCAAGAGCCACAGGATGTGAAAATATGGGGCAAAAGAAGGAAGTCTGCTCCCTGCAGTTTCTGTGGAAAGGCAGACATAACACAGGGGTGTATGATGCAAGTCAGAAATGAGCCCCAAGATCTGGGGCAAGGAACTGTGCCTATGCGATTTGTTAGTCTGTCACAAGGGAGCAGCGTCTGGGTGCTGAGGAGGGGAGGGTGCCCTGCGTGGATTCTTGTCCAGGGGCTCTGCTGCATTTACCTTGAAAAGAATATCTGTACACATTGCTTTTCCATGCGTTATTATCGGTTCTTGGTCTTCTCCTTTGCCATCCCAACAGTCCAGCTCAACACACCTAAAGACCCAAGAAAAATGATGTCACCTTCCTTAGTGTTTCAGTACAGGCGAGCTACTTGGGACAAGTTCTGAGCAGTGATGTTCAGAGCAGTAAGTTACAAAGCTGTTTTGGGCATCACACAATTCATTTTAAGCTGCACATGTGTAATTTCAGACTGCTTTTACAACTTTGGGTATACTACCTTAAATATAGTATGTCTGGGTCAATATATTTACACCTGAGCAATAATGGTTTTAGCACTGTAACACACTTCTAATTATTATTTTACTCAGTTAACTGTGACACATTCTAGTATGTCAAGAAATTAAGCAGAAAATCATAAAATGATTCTCATTTACATATAAAAATCTTAATTTCAAAGCAAAAAGCCCTCTGAAATTCTTTAGTTGTCATTTTGAAATCAAACTTCTGTTACCTTTCTCACAAACTCTCTCTTGACATTAATTTCTACATTCCCACTGCCTTCCAACGTTTTTGTAAGAAAGGGTCTTAAATATGTATATTTTCATTTACCACACTAATCAATTTATACATTCAATTATACAATATATCCCCACAAAGGTATGTTATCTAGGTTTAAAGTATTAGATACACAAATATTAAAGGCTGTTATCTCCTGCTTCCAACCTGCATCCAGCCAATAGCACTTGTCTGTACATCTCCACTGAAGACTTCCCACCAAACTGCCTGCCTGTTAAATATGTATTGTGAGAGGAACTGATGAAATAATGAGCCAAAGGATGGTCCATTTCTTGATATAATTCCAAACGGTCTAGGAAAACTGGGGCATTTTCATCTGACATCAAGTATCTGCAAAACCCATCACTTGATATGACACCTAGAAGGAAGAAGAAAGTAGGGAAAATTACTACTAGAAATTTATAGTGGGCAGGAATCAAACTGTCTCACAGAGCAGGAATCTTAGCACAAAAGCTATGTTTATCTAGGCTTCTGCAAACAAAGAGAAGCTCTCCCCTTCCAGTGCTCCAAGCTGACCAGCAACTGTGTCCCTGGTGCAAAATCTGATGCTGAGGTCCCAGGTTACAAAAGAAAAAAATCAGGTGCCCACCTAGCTCAATATCCTACGTTCAGCACTCACCATTAGCAGACCTGAGCCATCAAGAGGATGTGAAGGTGGCAAATAAGTAGTGACATCTCCTCAGAATACTCCTAGTAATTTTGGGCTCTGGGACTTTGTGAGCCAGAAATTGTGAGCTTGCACGTACCAGTCTTCTACGGTACTTTGCTCCCCTCTTTCCTATTTAGTCCTGCCCTGCCTGTGCTACATCGGTGTTAGTCAGCTTGCAGCACGTGCAGAGACTGTTCTCCACTGACAAAAACAAGTGGAGGTGTACCTGAAAACATTTGCACGTGTTCATTTGCAAAGTATTAGGAAAATGTAAGATACCTTCAGGTTTACTCTTTGAAATACAGGTTTATTCCTTTATAAGGAAAAGCAAACCATTTTCTACAATGAACATGGGACATACAGTAATTCAGAGGACAGAATTTCTCTTATTTCTCTGCTGTTACCTGCTTCATAAAGTATAAAAATTATAAATCGAGGGATACATTTTAATGAAAACAAAGTAAGAATAATCAGTACTGCAAGATCAGTTTTAAAGTGGCCAAGAGACTGAAAAATGATCTGGGGTAGGGAAGAAGGGATTACTTACAAAGAGTCACTGCAGAGAATAGTTTTCTGGCACTAATTTGGAGATTGCTTTCCCTAAAGTCAAGTATGAGCACTCAGTTACTGTTAAGGTACAGGGTGCAGCAGTCCTATTTTTATTTTAAGACAACTTTTCTCTTATACAGAGAAGTCCGGTAATCCTGCTTCTCATTCTGCTCCTAGCTTTCTGAAAAAATCCTCTGCTGAAGCTTAGATTTTCTGTGCTTTGTGTCAGCCAGAGGTGAACTGTTCTGGAATGTCTTATTCGAATCCTCTCAGCTGATTCTGAGTTTTGGAAGGGGGGGAAAAAGGAGGCGAAATGGAAATTTCAACTTTAAAATTTTTTTTTTATTTTGTTAATCACTGAGAACTTAAAAGCAGCAGCACAAAATATCTCGGATGATACACGCTTCTACTGCATCATCGAGTGGGAAAAAGTCACAAGTGAGCAGGCGTCCTAGACAAACAATGGTTGAGACTTCAGCAACTTAGGAGCTCTATGTGCTCAACAGACTGGCCTTTGTATTTTTAATGCATTGACCAGGTGGAAGAATCTGCTTTTGTAGTGTTCCTGAGCAGACTCGGGTTACTAAACTGCACAGCATTAACTTGTTCAGCTTTACCTACTCCTTCTGTTACTGAAATGTAACTGAGGAAGAGTCAGTTGCTTATTGCTACTGTCTTTGTTGTACATCAGCCTTCTTTCTTAAACTACGTGATTAGCAAAAAAAAAGGTGTTGAGCCGCATTATTTTGCTCAACTGCAAAGTTGTAGCTAAGAAGAAGGGGAAAGAGACTGCAGAGAACAGCCATTGTTGAGATAAATTCTTGCCTTCTTTACATTCTAAGGTTCAATACGTTATATGAAATCATCTCTCTATCCTACTGATTGCATTGGGATAAAATCTGCATCAGTGAATACGATCAGTGGAGGAACACTGTAAGAGGACACTACTGCTGTTCAGCTGTTACTCTCCATAACCCTATCCCCGCAGGAAGTTTACCAGATTTATTTAAAATCTGTTTGAAATATAAATCAAAGAAAGAAGCTAAATAATGAACCAAGATTCAATTATTGGGTAAAAGAATAAGCCAATATAATTCCCTTGCTATAGACTGGTGCTTGCAAAATCCTTCTCTTTGTGAATTACTGAACATTGTTTTCCAGTTCCAGATTAATTTCCACCTTCAGAAAACATGTTTTTGCATCTTCCATCCTAAGCAGGTGGCAGCTACGTTAGTACACCTTCCTCATTTTGGAAAATATGTAAAATACACTGGCATCAAGAGGAATCACAGATGAATGCTTTTAAAAAAAAATAAAAAGGACAGAGTTGCCTCAAATCAAGTAATTAATACTTGGATAATTCTCCTGCATGTAGAGAGGAAGAGAAATAGGCTACACTGCTTGTGAGTGGAAAATCCTCGTAACATTTATAAATGACTCCTAGACAACAGAAATATCTCCCTCTCTCCCAGGTGATTCCTGGAGAGTCCGCGTTTTCACAGAACTAAAAGAGCAATACTAACTCGGCACACGACGCAGCGTCTGGAGTAGCATGCACAGTCCGAGCTCTTCCTCTAGCCATTTGGTGAAAAGGACTCAAGTAGGATAAGGAATGGTGAAAGCTACACATCCAGCTACAGAAGGATTCCTTAAGTTTATAGACTGAGGAAGACGACTGTAAACTCTTCTCAACCACTGGCCCAGAGAAAGTGAAAGGGGCAGGTATTGCTGTGGAAGGCACCATCGGTGTCAACGCCTGTGGTCATAAAGCAGCATAAAGGCACACATGGAACCCAACAAGGCTGCAGCAGCGAGCGAGAGCTGCCTCGGGCTTTACTGAAGCAGTTTAAGATATTGCCTCCTCCCGTTGTCTGCTTTGTACGCCCTCCATCAGCAGGGGCAGCACTAGCAGATGTGTAAAAGTTACTCAGCTTCTCCAGTGCTAGCTTGATATGTTAGCCTAAATGTCTAGTGAAAGTGGCTTCCTGTCAGGGTGCCTGACGGTCTATGGGCTTTGCAAGGCTGCAGTCTCCTCCTCTGCATGCTAGGATGACAGTAATTTCCAGCAAAAGGGCAAGGAGGACAGACAGGGATAGCAACATTTTTGATTTCTGCAGTTGATCCTAACACAGCTATTTCAGCAGAATGGAAAAGACCTGGAAGCCAAGTTCCACCACTTACACCTCCAACACCCATAGCAGCTCAGGACACGAGCAGTCCAAGAACGGCTTGGAGACGCTCCTGCAATCTTCTTGCTCAGAGAGAAGATTTTTCAATGCACCCATGTAAAATACCCTGTTCTAAGCTAGGCTGCTGCCCTCAAGCACTATACAGATTATAAGAAGGTGGATGCATATCCAATAGCGCACGTTATTTAAAAAAAAAAATAAAAAATTATTTTTACACAGTATCTGTACAGCTTTGCAGTCTCTCTGAGACCTTGGCCATAGCCACATGCATGTTGTCTTGTTGCTAGAAGGAGTCTCCATGTTGACCCCTGTTTACTCAGTCCTAGCCTCTCCTATTTTCTATCAGGATGGCTGGCTTTGCAGCCACACTGTGACCTGGATCAGGGAAATAATCCTTCTGAAAAAAATCACTAGTTTTGAGGGGCGAAAATTTTTCAGCAGATCAGTTTCCTGATCTAGTTCACTGGGTGGCCACACAAGTGCTCACCCCCCGACCACAAGGACTGTAAGCTCCCTTTTAAAAGTTTGGATGCTTCGGAACAAATTCCCCAAATGCCTAAAACCAGTGAATACTGAATTCCCTCCCACATTTACCTTTACTCTTCAAGTCTTCATCTGGCTCATATGTCTCAATTATCTGCATTGCTCTTTTTGTGTCATAAAAGGGAAATAAAATTTCATTGAGCCGAGGGTCTCGTTGATGCTAAGGTTAGAAAACAACGGAATTCAGCAAAACAATATAGTGCATGGCTATCATCCAAGAGTATTTCATTACTGCAGATGAGAAAGAAAGAAGTGGACATTTAAAAGAAAAAAAAAAAAAGAGCCCTAAAACTTACAGACTATTCAATAGTAACTTTAGCTTTAGACAGAAAATGAACCGTATCTTTCATAAGAAACCTAGGCAGTTTGATTATAAAAATATTTCAAAAAAACCCCAAACAATCCAGTGCAAGCGTATAACTGGTCTTACTCTTGCTTGTTCATGAAAACAATGGCTGCACGTGGTATACGTGCAAATGAAATGTTGTAAACAAATAGCTAAATCTCTCTTCTTTGTAAATTCTCTCTCTTCCTAATCTTTTTTGTAGGTCATGTAAATTGAAAGACTTGACTGATGGCACTGTAATCACCTCTGCAAAAATGCATGTCTTCAGCAATATCTACCGCTAAAGTAAAAATTAAAACTAAACTAAAGCTATACTATAAATACAGAATTTGAACATCAAATTTAGAAATATGCAATTACTGATGATTATTTGTGAATCATGGAAACACTGTGTTATTAACTATTCAAAAAACAGCATAGGTTCTTAGAAGAAATATGTACAACTTAAGAGCTTCACAGTATCATCTCTTCAATTCACAGTAATTTACAATATTAGGATTTCATAATATATGTAATATTTAGATACAATTTAGCAGTGATTTCTAATACACTACTAAAACTCAGAGTTTTTACGTTTTCACTTAATAGCGTGCTATGTAATTTTTATTTCTCTCCATGCTGGATTAGAGCTGCACACTGTGTGCCTGATTCTCCATTAAAAGAAAATTAAAACCAGAATTGAACGGAGTAGTGGCATGTAAGCAGATGCAATAAAACATAAAGAAATAAATATGACTGTGAAAACACTCTTTTACCCCAGTAGGTGCATAGTTTTCAAGCTTGAGTTTAAGCAGAATTCAGAAATGTAACAGGCCACCCGCATATTGGTGATCAATAATTTGGAGTGGACAGGATGGTGTTGATATGGCTCGGCACAGCACTGTCAGCATTTGCTGTAATTCCTTATGTGTAAACTTTTGGACATTTTTTCATGAAAAAAAAGCAATATCCAATCAAAAATAGGCACTTGATCTATTTTCTTATAATCAATACATTGATGCATGTGCTTAATTAATTCCAAGAAATTACAACCAATGCCAACTTAATCATGCAATTAAGGAGGGATCTTTCAAGTAATGCTACTGACAGTCTGCAGCATCTAAAATATAGCAGTTTCATTCACTACAGATCGGCTGTCTGGATATCTAAGTAAAACTCAGATGAAATACGGTATGAGAGCAGATGGATGCAGGACATAACTTGCTAAGCAGTACACAACAGCAACGCAAAATTGGCATGCAACAGCAGAGTCTACTGTGACAAATGACAAGCTTTATACCATTAGTGACAATACACCACTTCAAAAAAATTGTGAGAAATGGTAGGGAAGGTTCTTAACTCAAGAAAAGTGCTCTTCCCCACTCTCTTTCTTCTACAGTTAGTCATAAGCAAACAGAAAAAAATAAATGGGATAAAGCAAAAAAGTCTCCTCTTGAGAAAGAGCCTCAGAGTTATCGGAAGGAGCTAAGAGCAAAATATTCTTCTTGCAGCAATGATCATCGCTCATTATTGGTTTTCCATTTGAACAAAAGCATGTTTTTATATTTCCTTAGATTAAAAAATAAAGCAAAATTGACAACTGACGAAGTTTTACTTTAAAAAAGGAAGAACGCTTACTGGTGTCTCTTGAGGAAACATTCTGCACTACTGAGCTTGGTGGCACGGGAAAGTTGTAACACAAAAGCTGACCAAAACTAAAAGCATGATGTTGCCTCTAGAAAGACAACATGCCCCAGGCCTAGTTCTGTATGTCCAACAAAGTTGCACTTGATTGTTCTAGTTATCATATTAGACACCCTTATACCAGACGTTCTTAACCATATGAGGGTGTACCATCTAAAAGTACGGGGAGAAAGAATGTCTGCATGGTTCCGCAAAGAGAGAAGGATCATTTACCCTCCCCAACTTGGCCTCCGGTCTCCTCTTTGACAACAGTTAATAATGTGCTGGAATCAATTTTGCCTCTTGAATCTGTCCTGTGCAGCAGTGAGAAGGGTGTCCTTTTGTGGAGATGAAAAACAGAGGGGGATAGAAAGAGCAAGTGAGAGAACGGGAAGGAGGGAAGAGGAGCGAGCAAGTGAGTGGAAGGGAAGGAGTGAGGAAGAGCAAGGAAGTGGGAAAGAGCGGGGGGGCAGTGGGAAAGAGGGGAACAGAAAAGGATCTCCTCATACCTCCTTCCCAGGAGAAAGGATGAGTCCTGGCCAGACTACTGAATTTCCATTTTGACAGTTACTTGGGCTTATTAATTTATTGCTGCAAATTAATGGCAGCAGCAAATCTCAATAGTAGTGATCTCAGTTCTTTTTCTACCACATTTTCTTTGTTCAAAATTTGACTTTAAAAAAAAGAAGACCTAGACAAAATACTCAGTGCCTGACAATAATTAAATTTCTAAAAAATTTCCCAGAAGCTTTAGTACTGATGCACAATTAAATCAGCTATCAGCCAGCAGCATTTAAAAGTCAAATAGAGACAGCAGTTTGGAAGAACTCCAGGAAAGCAGCTCACTCTCTACTCATACCCAGTAACGTATCCTCATGCTTCCTTAAAAACCTGTAACACTTAGAGCTTGTGCAGCATGCCTTGGACATTACTGAATTCAAAATAATTTAGGTTAAAGACTCATGAAGAATTGCTCTGCCAAGTAATTCCCCTCTCCTATATAATGATAATAATCTTTTTATATGTTCCAGCATTAAACACCACTGCTAATTGCAGTGTTGGCCAGCTGTCAAGGAGACCGAAACGATCACTTCAGGAGGGAGATTCTTGATCATTTAGTGCCTTTCAAAGCACGACCAAAACTTTAAACTCTATCTGGAGACCTAAAGACCTTCAGCACAGAGCCAAAGGCATTAGTTTCAGTCATCGAAATGAATGTCCTGCTCTATACAACCACTTGACTAATTCTTCGCAGCTCTGGTCACCAACTAAAGAGCCAACTACACGATTTCCAATTGCAGAATGTGTTGTGTCAATAAGAATGTAGCCAACAAGATGCATCTTTCTCCAATACTGCCCACAAAATAATGCTTCTAATTCTGTAAAAAGAACTTCTAAAACAACACAAAACTGAGAGCACAACAATTCAATTTTAATTTCTTCATCAGTTACTGGAGATAGCCAGGAAGTTCTTACAATTGCTGACAGCTCTTCTTCAGAAGTTTGGGCTTCAAGGAAGCACACTTTAAACTAAAACAATTACAGAGATAATTTTAAAATAATGACAAAATAGTAATTTACTGAAAAATGAGGATTAACACTAAAAAAAATAATCAGAAGCTAATATGGCTCAAGGTGAGGACAGGGCTGTGTGCTTCAAGCAGTGAAGTGTATCCATCACCACAAGTGAATTGGGGGACTGAGGTACTTTAAGGGGATCACTTATAATTTAAATCACATTATCCTTTCTCTCTTCGATGCAGAAGAAAAAATGACATGCCTTAGCTATGACCCCAGTCCTGCAAACATTTAGACACTGAACTTTGTAAATAGCTGTGAGAAAAGAACATCTCACAGTAGTAAGATTAAGCATGTGCTCCAATTTGCTAATAGAGAGAACTATGCGGATATGAATTAAGGGCCCAGGTATGTAACTATTAGTCCTGAATCTCCATACAGCAGTATTGGATAAATAAATAAATAAAATAGATTGAGAACCAGTAAAATAATTTTAGATGGAGAGATTTTTGGTAATGCACCCAGTCCCTAAAAGATCATGCAGAGAGGTAAAGCAGTTATCCATGTTCCAGATGACAAGAATCTACTGGTACAAAGCCAGGTAGAATGTGCCTATTTTCCATGTGTATATTCTTATCAAAACTACACAGTGCATTTATTGTTGCAATTCTGAAGGAATCAGTCTTCTATAACTTGCTTTAGGAATAGAAAAAAACCCCAACAATCCTGCACTGTTTATTGAACATTCATGATATTTTTAAGAAATACTAAATATTCTTGCCAACAACCGTAGTCTGGAAATATAGCAATAAAAATATTTCCTCTCATTCTGCACACATAGTATTTTAAAAACCATATACAAACTCTTAAAATATCCTCTCAGCTCTTATGATTTGTAATAGAGTGAAATAATACTGTCGAGAAGAATCAAACCACTGTTTATAAAAGCCTACTTCATTTTTTCTATTATTCAGAAGGATTAGCGGATATATTTAGCTGTGGCCTACGGGTAAAATAATTGCTTCTCATAAAATACGGGGTGTATTTTAGTTGAAACTGCATTGAATGTAACAGTATAAAATGTATAAAACATACATAACACACAACATAACACAACAGCAAGTAATCAACAGATGCAATCTGCAAAGCCAACATGTAGAAAGCACGACAACATACAAGGTTGGAGCTGATTTTTGCACCTGGATGTTACCATAATGGAAAGATCAGCAGATCAAAAGCATAGCAAATAATGGCATGATTCATGCAATGGAAAGACTGGAAGAAGCAAGCCACTGCAGACAGACTTGTATGGTAGTTAATGTATGAAAAAGCTTACTTCATTTAGAAAGCTCACTAATTGGTCTACCGTTAAATAATCAGTTTTGTCTCCATTGCTGAAAAGAAATTTATTAGAGAATGTAAGTTTTCATATACGATGCTACAGTAGGTATGATTTACATGTTGACATTGTTGATACTTTTAAACCCTTCTACTTTTCTACCTGAAGTAGTTCTATAATCTCAAAATGAACACAGAAAACATGCTAACTGTCTATGCTTGGCACACTATGTATCTCCCATATCGCCTATAACTTAAACATTAATTCAAAAAACAACATGTAAGTCCTCCAGATGAGAATAAATTCAGTGAAGAAACTTTTAAAACTTCAAATTTCTTATTTAATTTAGTTAGTTCACATACTGTGTTAATCACCTAAAGTAGCAAGTTACAATTACCGTAGTTAGTGAAGCCAATGCAAAAAAAAAGTTCCAGGTGCTTCCTCTAACTCATGTAAAAGTTGCTCTAAAATACAGAGTGAACTTTTACATTAACAATCTGAGAAGGAAGGAAGGGCAAAAAAACATAGACTTGAGTTTGTCTTAAAATACTGCTGATGTTACTAGGATTCAAGGTTAGATAATCGTACAGCGTTCTGTCACTATTAGATACGGAGTAAAAATACAGCAAAATTAGTTTAAAGCAAGATTATATTAAATTTGAACTTACATCTTCTTAAAGAGGTCCTCTATGTCAGTTCGGGGACATATCTTTTGGGTGAGCTCATAAAATTTCTCGTAAGTAAATGCTGCAGGCTCTATTTCATCATTCTGCAACAAAATGCAAAGGTACATTTATCCAGCAAAAGAGAGCTTATATGCTCTTTCCCCAAGAGCATCTCTTACATCAGAAAAAGCAACTGAGAACTGTTTTAGCTCTTTACCTAGTATAATTTACCTAGTTTCTTTTGTATTTTCTGAAAACAGTTTTTAATTCATCTTTATCATAGATGTGATGTGCTTATATTCTGACCTCACTGTAACAATTCTACATCAACACAGAACTGGAAAACAGTATTTTTCCTCTGAAGCTTAAAAAACCCCAAAAAGTCCAAAATACCGTACAACCTTCAGGGTATTTATACTGAAGCCAAGGAATATTGAGGAAAAGTCCCACATTTGGTGCAGTGGTTTCAAAAAGCAAAGCGGCTCTCATACAGGTGCATGTAAGATGTCCATGAGCTGACACATGCAGCATCACGTCCTCCTCCGAACAAGATAAGCGTTGCAGCAGTGAGGAAAAATGTCACCTCGGGTGCCAGGCACTGCTATGGCTGGGGATTCATGTCTTTCTAGACCCCCTCTCCCCAGCCAGAGACAGCGAGCTGCCGAGCTTGCAGGGCTGCCCCTCACCAGCCTCTGGCTGCAGTCACGCCAGGAACCAAGGGCTGGAGTCTCCGAAATCATAGAAGGGAGACTGGGCAGGGAGTAAAGCCGAAAAAACTAGCTGCAACTGTAACCAGCCATCATCCCTCCGGCAGGGGCTCCCGCTGGGAGCAGGACAGAGCTGGATAGCAGTTCTCCAATGGAAGGGAGCAAATAGCTGGAGGAGTCCAAGAAATGCAACTGAGAGGACAGCACGCAACAACAAAAAAAAAAAGTATTATGTGCATATTCTGTGCTCATACACTTCGTGTAAATGAATGAAAGGTAGTCTGTTACAGAAAAGAAGGGAAACGTCATCTCAGAGGTTTAAGGACCACTATGTCACACAGATTTAATGACATTTTGGTTTTAGTAAACAACCTACGGTGATTAATAAGTTACTCATGAACAACAGGCATGGTTTCATGTGATGCAAATGACTTAGATCACAGCTACAAATGTGAATGATTCATCAATTTATTAGTAGACAAAAAAAGTTATTCAAAACCACTAAATACCTTTCCACTGGGAAGACCTAATTCCTTCAGTGCCTGAAAGATCACTTTTTCTGTTTTACCTGATGCAAAGGTTCTGGTAATGCTAAAACAAAAAAGAGTGGGGGGGGGAAAAAAAAGGAGAAATGTTAGTCACTTTATAAACAATCAGTTCTCTCTCTCTTGCTTTTACTGCCAACATTTTCCTCTGGCTTCAACTGATGAATGTAAGCATCTTCCAAGTAATAGTGCAGTTGAAAAAGTGCTCTAAGCTTCACAGAGTAGCACAGATAGCTCTGCCTGCAAGCTATCCACTAGAAAATATATCAAAATAATGAACCACAAAAAGAACAAGAGGAGTTTTTTTATAATACAGTGGGATACAGAGCCATGCAAAGCATTATTCCGTCGGCTCTTTTAAACTCTATGCATAGATAACTAACTGTGTTTAAAAAATAGTGGATTCTCCAAGCGAGGAGACTCGCATCTCCAGCCGTTCCTGGGTGTGGTGACTTCCCTTTCTTTCCAAGCATTAACCTACGCGTCCCAAGTCACCCGAAAGGTAGGCGTGAACCATTCCCAACGGCAGCTTCCTTCCTCTTTCCTTTTCAAGCAGCCGGTGCTAGGAAGCGGCTCCCAAGTGCACGCCAAATCTCGTTCCCTGCTCCCTCACCAGCTGCAGTGCTCGCTCCTCCCTTTGAGCGCTCGCTCGCCCTACAGCCATTATGAATGGCCCTGTTCTAGACGTACTATGCATAACTATTTAGGTAGGTCTCAGCTGCTACTGATAGATTTCCACCAAACTGATTAACATCCTCTTCCTGCCGCAAAACAGGGGTGATTTCCCCATGCATGTGACTGACAAACTGGTTTTACTTGAAATGAAATAAATCCAATTAAAGCTTAGCCATTTGGTATGATTAATGTGAAAGCGTATGGTCTACTTCTGTTTCCATTTGAGATGAGTTTGAATAATCTCTAACTCTGGAAAAGTAAGATCCAAACTTCACAGCTCTCTCCTTCTGTTTAGGATCTAAGCTAAAATGATGCGTCCTACATCCCCTTGATTTTGGTATCTCAGTCTGGAGAGAAAAACTGAAGTCTGTACATTGGGAAAGACTCTATAGTTGCCTGATAAGAACACGCTGCTCTTTATCACCAAGATGAACATTTGCTGAGACTTTTCGTTAATCTCATGCATAGTAAATAATTTCACATGTTGAAGGATGCGAAACAAACTGTTGCTGTTATTTGTTGCCATAGCAATTCACAGTTGTTTTACTCTCCAAACCACTCTAAACTGCCTATGTAAATATTTTCATAATAATAAAATTAAGATCAGGAGGTGAAAGATCTAAATGATAAAAATAATATTTTAACAAATCTTGGCCCATTTTTTTTTTTAACTGGATTCTTACAACAGTTAGATTTCTATGTCCCTGTTTAGGCACCTAAATAAGTTATTTGATTTTCCATAGCTGATAAGTACCAAGATGTTTTCACTAAAATATAGACTGAGTTTAAATTCAGGCACTTGTTTCTTAAAAAAAAACATCTCAGGCGTCTATTTTTCTGCTAATTCTAAAACACAGAGTAATGTTAGCTCTACAATTTACAACCTATCTCCAGCCCTGCAAAAAATTCTATGTCTGTTCTAATGAACTGGGCCCCAATAATAAATGTCATGTAAAATGTGTAATATTGGCGTAAGTAATTAATCAAGATTCCATGGCTGCAGGGAGCTTATTTTTTATGCCAAACTATTCTGGATTTCACCAAAGATGACAGCAAACAGCAGTGATTTTTAATGAGAGCAGCAGTCTAGAAAACACTGCATGAATCAAAAAAGATTATAAAAATACAGCATGATACTTTCATTTTGTTAAGAGTATTGTAAAGAAAACTATTCCCGCTATCAGACGAGACCTCATCCTAGCAGATTTACATTCACCTTGTCGTACAGCTTGGAAGAAAACTGGGCTATTTCAGATGCAGGGAAGTTACTGGTCAACAGATACGTACAGGGGTTTACTCCTCATGTTCTACAGTGGTTTGGAGCTTCTTATGGTAACGTGTCAAGGCACTTCCTCATAAATATTTAAAATACTTCCCAAATCTTGGACTGAGGGATATGAATCTATTGTGCCTGTTGATGGATTGAATGACTTGGTTACTTCAGACATTCACCACTTTCCAATAACTTCAAAAATCAAGCTAACACACGAACAGTTCAAATCAATCTTATATTATGGCTCTGCTGAATTTATCAGTTTGGCTAGAACTGGAAGTACCTATTCTGTACAAGACATTATCTAAAACTATGATTTCCAACCATCATTTACGTATTGAAACAAATTTATTTCTTCCAGGCACTCTGGAGTAATCGATACAAAACATATTTAGTAAAAAAGTGGAATTTCAAATTAACTTAATTACACCACTGTAAAACAGATATAAACCTCATTTTTCATAGTTTAGCTTTTTCATTTTTATATATTTTCATAGTTAGGAGCTAAATTAGCTTAAATCCTTTTAAATGTAGTTATACAAGGGATAAGCATAGATTAGAAATGAGCTTTGCTCAAACAGGCTCTAGCTGAACAGGTGCAACTTGCACATGTAGAAAATCCATTTTCTGCCAACAGAAAGCTGCAGAAACCAAGCAGTTTGCTTTTTTTAACAAACACTGACCTTTTTAGTCATCTTTTACAGTAGTGTTAAAATCTGAAAATACAAAATATCTTACCAAATGCCCTGTCCTTGTAAGATCTGTAGATATAGTTCTAGACTCAGACTGCTAGAATTTGTTAAAGCCCAAAAGACAAATCTGGTGCTCTCCTAAGGTTTTCGGACTACTAACCGCCAGAATTTCTTCTCTCCCAAACACAACAGTTTCATAGCAATAGATATACACCCCAGAGTACATTAAAATCTAAAAGTAGTTGAGAAGAATCTTCATTTCTTCTGAAACCCCCAACTGCACTAACAAGGAGTCAGGAATTTTTATGCCATTTACCGCCGACAGCCTAAGGAGTTTCACCTTCTCAGGGCTCATTATGTGCTAGCTGTAAAAATCTGCCTTAAACCTGAAAAGAAATGCAAGGAACTCTGATTTCCCAGATGAGATTTTTTTTTTCTCAGTGTTTCACTGCACTTCTGTGTAAAAATGAAATAAAGGTGATCTTGTGATACACGTTCCTACAGCTTAACAGATCTGCTGGGTATTCTGAGAGAATAACCTTCCTATCCGTATCTCCAGAGCTACAGCAATTGCTGCCGGAGTCCCTGAGCACGGGAAGAGGCGGAGGTTTCTGAAGCAGGGCTGACTAGATAACATGGTATTTAAATACAATGTTATGTGGACGGGGCTGACCACAGCAATCTGGAGGTCAGTTGAAGGGGAAGCATGGGTGGTTTAAACCAGGGTCAAGAGTTATTGGGGGGAGGTAAACAATGTGAAACTTGGTGCATCTTGCATAGCAGGGCCATTCTGCCCACATTTCCCAGCGCCTCCTGGCTTGCCTTCCTCATACATATACCCTTCTCCTTATGCATCTACCTCCTTCTGTTTTCTCTTTTATCTCTCCAGACTCCTCTGCACTAAGTGTTCGTGGGCGGAGGGAAGCAATGAAGCCCCCCACATCCCAGGCTGCCCAGTGCTGAGACATCCGGGTGCCTGTCCCACTTCATTCTAAGTACCTGCTGCTGGATCAGGCTAATCTCATGATCTTGCCATCCTCCATCAGGGCTCGGATTCACCCCCTTTTCCAATGTAGGTCTACAGAGCAGACTGATTTTATTTTTTTTTAACTTTCATTCACATTCCTCCTCTACAACTTTCCTCCAGCCTCTCAGTGCCATCTCTCCCAGCCATTTCAGCAGGCGATACAGTTTTTCCTGGATGAGCCCCCAAAAGTTGCCACATTTCACCCACACCAGCATAGCGCATTCCTTGGAGCATCCAGACGTAAAGAAGATTCAGCTTCCCTCTGCACAGCATAGAATAGTAGATGCCTTACAAATTTATAAGCAAACTACTTTTGAAATAAATTAAGCTGCTAGAGACCGATTTGTAACAACCTGGAAATAGCGCAAATTTGAATTTAAAGATTTAATACACTGGAACCAGTGGACTGGACTCTCTTCAGCAATAAGCGGGCTTGTCTGCATACGCAAATCAGTGTGCTGTAGCACAATGGACAGAATTTATGCCTTGCTAAATGAGAGGTAAAATATTTCAAGGTAGAAACAGTTTCAGACAAGCTAGCACACCATAAGTTCATACTAAGGAATAAAGCTCTACATTCAGACACAGGCATAAAGTTCTAAAGTCTTGAAAATGAATTTGCCCCTGTAGCATTGTTCCCTCATCTTTGCCCTTCACTTGATATTCCTCATGGGACTTCTGCACAGAACGTGCCTCACAGCAGTTTAGTTCAAGTCTGAGAAATAAGCAGGGGCTTGGCAATGTGAAAGTCGAAAGATTAATACACTGAAGCAGCCTTAACACTGTCGAGGTGTCACTTGAATCATGAAACTAAAGGAACCTGGAAGGCAGTATGGCAGGCCCTTTGTCTTCCTGCAGATTCTACAGATGCAAAACCCTCTCTCTCCCTTGAAAAAAATCTGTGAGGCTTATCTTACAAAGTCCTCTTTCTTGCTCCCTTCTGTGGGTTTCTGTTTATGAAAAAACAGCATGCCCCAAAAGAGAAAAAACAGCATGCCCCTCTTCCTGCATGAAGAGGAAAGAAGCTCGATGTATCAGCAAGAATTAATTTCTAGAGCAGGAGGGGGGAGAACTACTGCCTAGGCAGAGAGGACTGAAAATCAGTGACTTGTAATAGTTAATAGCTGTACAGAAAGAAATACGCTGTTCTAGCTTTTCTGTTACTGACAACAACTAACCCAATGATTCCTTTACCATGTGGAGAAAACCAAATATTATCCTGGGGGTTCCTATAAAAGCAGAAGTATTTTTGGCAGAGCTATATCTATCTCTTTTACAAGGAACTACATTTTAAAACTTACCTTTTTGTCCTCTACTTAACTGGCCTGCAAGTTTTTATGGTTCTTTTGATAAGTATTTTATGAAATTTTACAACTGAAAAACCCATCCCAGAGTTTGAGGAGTTTTACACTGAGAAAACTGATGCTCTTAGCTCTAAATGACTTTGAAAACAGTTACAAGCACTCATATCATCATTACAGTGGACTAAGAAAATACTTACTAGGCTGATAAGCCCTGCCTAGTTTACCAAGGAGGTATGGAACTCAGCTAAGTATGTCTAGTTCTGTAATTATTTTTACATATGTATTAGTAATAAAATTGATATTATATTTCATTATTAAGCCACAGAATTTTATTAACATTATACAACCAGCACCTGATAAAAACTTGAATTCCCAGTTGTGCTTACCTCCGAACTGGAATTTTCCCATTTGTGTTTGTTAGAAAGGCCAACTTCATCCAGCTGAAATTAAGAATGAAATATTTTCAAAATACTCTTTAGTAAAATTGGGATCTAGACACTTATATTTAGACTAAGATTATTGCCATGTCCATGAAATGAGTACAAACAAATAATTGTTCTGTAATAAAAATAATTTTATTTTTATATAGTTTTTTAGTGTTTTGAGGCAGATCAGTTCTGTAACTGTAAAGGCAAAAAGCAGCCCAAAAGAATCAGTACATCAATTAACATGAGTGTAAAGGCAAGAAAGACTGGTGGGATTGTTTGCACGTGCATCAATGAAAGAACAAACCACACAAATTAAAACATACGATACCAATAAACCAAATGAACAGTTACAATTTCTCTTATAATTTCTCCTGGGCAGGTGCCAGACCTAGACTTGAGACCTCTTCTGGCCACAATGAAAGATAAAACCTAAACTAATTTTCTTTATTATGCTGTTTTGTGATTGCAAATGTTGTGAATGCAAACTATGAAAAAACAAAACATTATTTTTTAAAAAAAGTCCAAGGAGGAAAATACAAGGACAAAAAAATAAAGGAGAAAGGGGAGGGAAGAAAGATAACTTACTGTTTCTTGAGACATGTCATTGGACTGACATTGTTAGCCCTAAAGTTATGTATGATGGATCCAAGCCCTTCTACCCATTGCTGAAAAACATGAAAATACAGAAACACCAAATTAGGAAAACCGAGGAGGGAAAAAGTAGGAAGCTTTGTCTTGGGGGAAGTCTCTTCGTCCTTGCAGCTATGGATAACGTTAATAACCTGAGCAGAGGAAAAAACCTGCCCACTTCACAGCCTGTAACGTCATGGCAAAGTCCAGCCCCATTTTACCCATTACTGTCTCAGCCTTCATGAAACAAAGTGATTGTGCTTTCCATTCCTCCAGGTACTAGAGGTACAGCATCAGCAGTGCTATTAAAACAGTTCATTGCCAGCATGGACCAGCGGTCCAATGATTGATTTATTAAGCCTTCTATTTATGGCCTGTATAAACATATGCCTCCCTTTCAGTTGCGGCTGGCAATATTAGCTATTACCAGGCAACATTATACAATATGTGATATTTTAACTGGTCCAGTTTTAGAAAAGGAATGAAACAAAATATTAATAAGCTAGAGCAAACCACAGGGAGACACAACAATTGTTCTGTGACGCTGACCTCATCTAACACCCTGTTACATATTCACGTCCTGCTTGCTTTCTGGCTTTCATCCTTAAAAAGCAAAACATTCCAGTAATCATCAGGATGACTTTCAGCCAACAGCAGCATTACAGCACGCACTTAGGTAATTCCTTTTTATGGATATATTTTTCTACCATATCTTCTACCTAGACTTTGCAGTACTGTATAGAAGAAGCTTAAGGATTAGGCCCTAACATGAACACTCATTGATTTCAGCAAGAATCCTGGCAGGATAAAGCTATAGGAAGAGAAAAAAACGACAGCACTACAAGCCAAGTTCGATCTCAATTATGCCATTGTAATGCTAGGATTACTCAACAGATAATTTACACTGTGGAACTGAGACGGGATTTGGTCCATTGCTTAACATGAACCTTATGAATAAAGAAGCTTCTTGCTTTCGGCCAAATTCTGTGCATGCAGCTTGAACTGACTTGGGCAGGATCCAGAACTTGACACTTATAAATAGATGCAGATGAGTATATTTTTCTTTTCATGAATGAGTGCTGTACATCTGCAAAACAGATGAAAAAAAAAGTCATCATTTATAGAGGAGGAATACTAACATCTTTGGAAAATGGCATATTGTAAACTGCAAGCAGTAAATCCCTATAGCTAAAAGAAGGTCTAAGGTGTCAGGTCAGCAGATAAACACACTTAAGCAGACCCTTGGACTCATGACACATTACGAGCACATCACAAACTTCTTTTTAAACAAGAACTTGTTAATCAGACTCCCTTAAAAATGGACCTTATAAATCTATTTTGTTTTAGGAAAAGTAGCCATTAAGGCATTTATTAATATTTAAATATGCCTTTTCAAATTATCCTTTTTTTTTTTCAAAAATTCCTTTTGAAGAAGTACTGCATAAAATATGCATACAAATAGAATAAGTGTGTATCTGAGTATAATTTGAAAATAGAAGTCTAACTTCTGAGAAAAGCTAGCATTTGGGATTTTCTCAGGTGTATTTTTGTGCTTGAAAACAACCCACCGGTAACAGTCTGCCCTCCCATTTCTCTCTTCCCAACTGCATGAATAAGATGACTTAGCAGTCATAGTATGGATGTGCTGCCTAGGGATATAAAGCAAGCAAGGTTCATGTGGAGAGATAATATTATTTATTAGAAATGATATAACTGGAAGCCATTGACAGGCTTAGGAAACGCTCATCTTTTCTTATCTCTCGCCTAAGATGATACAGGAGTAGTGTCTGTGATAATTTCAGGATAAATGCCTGAACAAGTTTTATGTATATTCCAGTCTCCTACAACTGTCAAAATTCAACTATCATCATTCAACTATCACCAACTATCTATGTTGGGGTTCTTGTGGTTTGTTTAGGTTTGTTTTTAAACACTAAAATGTAACATTACTGTAGCATTAACACTGTCACAGCTATACAAAAGTTTATCCTTATATGACCTGGATTAGTCTGAGCTTAAAAGCTCCTCAACCTTTCAACACTGACCCGTACAGTAAAATGACACATGCACTGCAGATAAAAAACCCTTGCAAAATTAAATTATGTGAAATGCACGTTGTGAAGAAGCTTCAGTCTTTCAAAACTCCCCCTTTTTTTTTTTTTTTCTGCTAAAAAAAGGCATTGGTGCAGTACTGGCAATGTCACCATTTCAATAGGAAATGAACACACAGAGATCCATTCTGATTTGAAGGCAATCGATTGCAACTCCACCAGGTATAACAAAATCTAACATTTAAAAGTAAGGTTACCCAGCACTCGGTTCCAAAGTTACTTCTGTACATCAAGAACAGCCACCAAAAAGGAACACTGCTAGAAAAAAACCCCAAGCATACAGAGCAATCAATAGACTAACCACTTAAGTAATTTATTTGCAGGAGTTGTCCTGATGATCCCACTTTAGAGGACTCCCTAATCTTTTTTCAATGATAATGCGCTTTCCTGATAGGGATGCCAAATCAGGAACCGCATTCTCTTACACCAAAAGAGCACAGAACTACAGCCAGACACTGATAAGCCCCAAAAGCATCACATCTCTGCTGGCATCAAGCAAGGGAGTAACCTAAGAGTCTCTGTCCATCTATGAGTCATCTTCACATTGGCACGGTGTCCCCTGGGCAAGACACGGCAGTTCGAGAGACACATGTGCCTATCTGTTCCACACCACGCAGCTGCACGACAATGGAGCATCTGGCTGCCTGCACTTCAGCTTGGGGCTAAAGCAGTTTCTGGAGCATTTCATCAGATATTCCCCATGGTTACCAGCTGGCTCCAAATTAACTAGGAATAAGAGAGCTAAGGAAAAAAATATGCTTCTCAATTGTGAACATACTATATAGAAGCAAAATGACATAAAATGAAAAGATTTCTTCATCCATAGATTATAAAGGCTCACTGCAACACATTCAAACTCTTTGTCCTTCTGAGCCAGAATAGTCTCCAAATAACAACTATCTTTATAATCACTTTTAAGGCACTGTAAGCCAGTGCAGATATTCACGAAATATCCAAAGCCTGAACAGTCTGACAAATGTCAAGCTGGCAATATATTGCTTTCCTGACAATAAACCATTCCCAGATTTAATGTACACTTGTCTGATGACCTTGTGGGAGGGATGAAAGAGCAGCTCAGATTTTTCTCAGCTAAAATGCTATGAAGAATATAGCAGCAGCCTTGCTTGTATGCTATGACAGCACTCCTTACAGATGAAGCTGAAAGACCTGTAAACCTATGTAAGTAAACAGGGATAAAGATCCTCAATTCTCTTCTTTCATGCTCAGCATTTCCAAATCACCACCTCTCCAAAGAAGGAAAATCCTATAACAACATGAAATCCTGAAATGAGGTATATAGGAAACACTTGATTCTTACACAAAGCAGAGTTACAAAATGTTTTTTGATAGAAATACAGGATGTGTTTGATTCTTACTGATGCTAGTGCTAAATATTTTCAAAATATGGCTCAGTACCTTTAATCTGTCGCTCTAACTCCTGAATGGCGCTCTGTATACACCAAGAATTATTCCAGATTCATATAAAAGAGGAATCTGGGCCCTGCTAGCAAATCCTAGAGAAACAACACCCATGAAAAGAAACAAAAACAAAGACAAGTGCAGCTTAAACACAGACTCTTAGATTTTGGCCTCTTGTGTCAGCCTACATACACTGCAGGCTGCAATAAGCAGACTGTGTTGTTTTTCTCTAACAAGATCCAACATTGTCAACTATGAAAGAGAAGGTGCAAGAAAAATTGATTGAAGAAGCACTCTCTCAGCTTTTGCTGTAGCACTCAAACACTTCTGAGGCACTTAGTGACCCTGCGTTAGCCGGGGTTCATCGATGAAACACAGGCAGCAGTGGCAGGGCACACAGATAAGTTTGACCTCTCAGCAATCTTTTACACACCAACCTTTCATTTAGAAGGGTTAAAAAGGGCAAAAATTGTAAAAGGCTAAAAATCACTGTAACCTACAGCTCATGAAATTCTAGACAAGGTCATCCATGGCTTATTTAGAGATGAGGTCAGTATTATCCAGACCTCTTGAGATTTTACCTTCACTTTTTCAGTGCAGTCTCTCCACAGATGCACTCAATTCAATTCAAGCATTGGGAACGCTGGGGAGGCAAGGAGGCACTGCCCTCTGATTTTGGTTGTCAGAGTCAAGGGCGTGATAGCTTGAAGGTTCAGGAAATCCACGGAGAACAGAACCACGTTTCCCAATTCTTACCAAGACAGACAGGGCCTGGCAGGATTCCCTGGTACTCTGCCGCCATTCAGCGATGCTGTGACCAGTAGATGTCCCTCTCCTCTCAACGCAGATGTCGCAGATGTAATTTCTGTTCTATGAAAATTACCGTATCTCTAGCATAAGACAGCAAAAGCAAGGAGACTAGACTAGTGACTGTAAAACCTATCCCCTACCTGACCAACTGCAGCACAGACTTGCGGGATATTGCTGTGAAAATCCTGTTACAAAGATAAAAGGGCTCTTCTGACTTTCAAGTATTTCATCAGGAAAGCTGAGGCTCACACAGACACTCTGTATTGGGAGTTCCCTGACGTGTCCAGACAGCTACCACCCTTCAGCAAAGCTTTCCACCCCAGAATGACTTTTCCAGCATTGGAGGGGTCTACTCAAAGCAGCTGGAAAACTCACTTTGGCTGCTTTTTTATACAAACTCAGACAAACATAGCAGAGCTTTACACAGTGAAATCAACCAGGGCTGAAGTTTTCAATTTACTGATAATTTCGCAGTGGCGTAGCCAAGAAAGAACATGAAAAAGCAGAAAAGCAAGCACATTGAAATCACAGACACTCAACTGCAGGCTGGCTAGGATATGAAGATTTCTCTAGAGAACATGGTATTACACCCTTGGCACAGGGCTACCTGAACATGTGAGACAGTCATAGTTTACAAATCTTTATCGCATAGGCTAGGAGACATAAGCCATATACTAACATAATGAGACACAGAGAACAGAGCAGTAGACTTCTAGAGTTCTGTTCAAGTATGTTCTGCAGGTTTCTTGGAAAGTTTTGTTTTGAAACATCAAAACAAACCAAAGCTATGGGAAAACAGAACTTTTCTGTAATGTGACTGTGGGATATTCCCATGGGAATCTTCTGCTACCTTCTAGTTGCCCTCATAGCAATATGATTTGGGCCAATATTTAATAGCTTGTTTCATGG